ACCCGTGTCGGATCCTCCAAAAATACACTATTTTTGGAGGATCCGACACGCACCCGGTAACATTTTCGGAGAGTCCAAGCAACATAGGTACTGATACTCAAAGATTGTAACTTGATATGCATTACCTTGCAAGGTGAAAAGAGAGTAAGTCTTGAAAGTCCAGCCTCTCTGTCCACTTCATCAGCTAACTTATTAAACTTCTCTTCAGGATTATATGTTATCTGAGCACCCCAAAACAAAATTTACACAAAGCTCAAAACCTTTTACACAATTACAGCTCAAAAGAGAAAGAAAAAACAAGAAAATCAAATACAAACTACAAAAGCCAAAAAACTTTATATAATTACAGCTCCATTCCAACAAATGAAGTCAAACTCATGATCATATGTTATCTAAGCACCCCATAACAAGATTCACACAAAGCTCAAAATGTTTTACACAATTACTCCTAAAAAGAACAAGAAAAATCAAATTCAAACCTAGCTATAGAACAAAGTTCAAAACCCCCAATTTTTTGTACAATTACAGCTACATTCCAACAAATAAAGTCAAACTCAGGATCATATGTTATCTAAGCACCCCAAAACAAGATTCACAGAAAGCTCAAAACCTTTTACACAATTACACCAAAAGAGAAGCAAGAAAATCAAATTCAAACCTAGCTATAGAACAAAAATTTACAAAAAAACCCAAATTTTTCAATAAAATTACAGCTCCATTCCAACAAAAATAAAGGCAAATTCAAACCATATACAAAATCTGGGTTGCCACTTATCTCTATTTGTTTTCTGCTAGCTCTTGAATCCAAGCTCAAAATATTTTACATAATTACAGCTCAAAAAGGGGGGGGAAACAAGAAAATCAAATTCAAACTACAAAAGCCAAATTTTTTAATAAAATTACAGCTCCATTCCATGTTTTCAACAAAACAATAGGGTTACCTCAACTTGTTTTCTGGTAGTTCTTGAATCTGAAGCCTTCACTATAACAAAATTGCTTCTTCCAGTTTGAGAATTCTTGTGAAAATAAGATGACCCATTTGGCCTTTTTGACCAAGATTGAGAAAAAGAACTCTTTTTAAAGGAACCAATGTGGGGTTTTTTGACATTACAACAAGTGTTAAGCTGGTAACTACTTAGAAAATTACAAGAAGCCATGGTTATAGAGTGAGTTTCAATTTGCTATTTTGTGCAGAATTTTAAGTGAATTAAAAGCAAAAAATGGAAGTAGATGATTCAATTAGTCAAAATTCAAAACCCCATTTCAAGAAAATGTGTTTCTTGTAAAAACAATTAAAAAGTTTCAATCTTTTTTCAGTGTACAAAAGTTATTATTTTTGGTAAGTGCACGTTTCAAAGATGATTTTTTTTATGGTTCTTGTCGTTATTCAATCTCTGTACTTAAGAATTTGAAATAAGGAAAGAAGTTTTGATGCTCTTTTTGTTAGGATAAATTGAGACTTAAGAGAAAATGAAGCTGAAAGTAAAAGTCAACTGTTTAGTGAATTCATCAGTCAACACATCTAAAATTTCAGTGTAAATTTGAAGGTTGGTTTTTTACAAACAATAAAGCTTAATATTGTACAGTTGAAAATAAGAAGAATTAAAATTGAAAAAAAAAACTTGTTTGACCCTCCAAATGTCGTGTCATTTGGAGAGAAAAAAATGTGCTACTTATCCAAATTTAATATATGCATCAAATTGTGTTCATTTATCATAATGATTTTACTTAAGAAAATAATACATATTGATTAACTGTGTTAAGTGATAAACTATGTAGTATTTAAAAGGCACAGATCATGCACTTATTATGCACATGAAAATACTCTTAAGCATACTGTTAAAACTGGTTTTTAAAAATTTATATATATATATATATATATATATATATAT